GCAGGAGAATCGATTGAACTTGGGAGGCGGTGGTGGCAGTGAGCTGAGATAGCGCCACTGTACTCCAGTCTGGCAACAGAGCAAGACTCCATCTCAAAAAAATAAAATAAAATAAAATAAAAAAATAAATAACTAAAACATGCAGATAATATTAAATTGTCCTCTGTGTTGGATCATGTTTTCCTCTCTAGATACAAACTCTAACTTGTCCTGACCCTGCTCTATACCCCAGGAGGCTGTAAATCTCTAGCACCCAGTGTCTACTCAGGACCTCTGTGAGAGATGGGCAGGCAGAAGGAAGGAGCCCCAGGCCTCTGTTTGGCACTGGCTACATTCCCTTACCGGAAGCCAGCTCCCATTAAGCAGCTCCTCCCCAGCGGCTACTAAGTCCACCATGTTTCTTTTTTTAAAAAATATTTTTATTTTTTAATAAGACAGGGTCCCTCTCAGGTGCCCAGGCTAGAGTGCAGTGGTGAGATCACAGCTCACTTTAGCCTTGACCTGGGCTCTGGTGATCCTCCTGCCTCAGCCTCCTGAGTATTTGGGACCACAGGCATCTGCCACCATTGCTAAAAAAATTATTTGTAGAGACAGAGTCTCCCTGTTTTCCAGGCTGGTCTCGAACACCTGGACTCAAGCAATCTTCTTCCTTGGCCTGCCAAAGTGTTGGGATTTCAGGCGTGAGCCACCGACCTTGGTCCCCACCATGTTTCAAGAAAAGCTCTCTCCCCTTGCCCTGTCAGTCAGATCAGGTAGGAACTGTTTCTTGCAGTTGCTTGTCCCTGGGTCTTTCACCAGCCCTTGCAGGTTCCCCTAACCCTGAGCACATCTCTATAAATAATCCTTTTGTTAAACTTCCTTCTGTTATCCTTTCAAGATGCCATCTGGCTGGTACACTGTCCCATTCACACTCCCACTGATTCACTATGGGAATATTTGTTTTCCCATACTCTTGTTGTTGTTGGCATGTTAAATGTTTTAAAGATTTTATATAAAATACTCCTTTAATTTTTTATTTTTTCTGGGCATGAGTGCCACTATTTTTTTTATCACAGGTAGTGTTTCCTTTTAAGTTTCTTTTTCTTTTATTTTTGAGACGGAGTTTCACTCTTGTTACCTAGACTGGAGTGCAATGGCACAATCTCAGCTCACTGCAACCTTCGCCTCCTGGCTTCAAGCAATTCTCCTGCCTCAGCCTCCTGAGTAGCTGGGACTACAGGCGCACACCACCATGCCCAGCTAATTTTCTGTATTTTTAGTAGAGACAGGGTTTCACCATGTTGACCAGGATGGTCTCGATCTTTTGACCTCGTGATCCACCTGCCTCGGCCTCCCAAGGTGCTGGGATTGTAGGCGTGAGCCACCGCGCCCGGCCACGTTTCAGTTTCTTAAAGGCCTTTGCATCAGTATAGAGACTTATTTCTTCAATATTGTATTGGTTCAATTAAAAATAACAGAAAATTCAACCAAAATCATAGAAAAAACTATTGAAGATATTAAAAACTTTACCCCAGTAAAATGTTTTAGGTGTGACGGTAACTTGTGGCTGTTTTAAATAAGAAAACCCCTTGTCTTTAGAGATATCCTCTAAAACAATTACAAGCAAAATGGTATGATATATTAGATTTACTTCAAAATATTCCAGAAAGATGGACAATAGAGTGTGGGGAATAGATGGAAGAAGGCCGGGAAAATGGAAGTAGTTGTTGCAAGTAGGTGACATGTATGCAGTATGTCATTATACCCACTCTTTCCCATTCTGTAACCATTCATTAGCTCCACCCTATGTGCTAAAAGTCCCAAAATAAGAAATAAACTGCCAAAAAAAAAGAACAAATAGCAACAATAAACAAACAAATAAAGACAACTAAAATTCCAAGTTGAGAAGAAGGCTAGCCACTGAGATCCCCAGGTAAGGCAGCTGCTCCAGCACTGCCCAGCCAGGATGAAGGTGACTGTCACCTTCAACAACCACAGGAAGCCACAGCTCTCCAAGCTGTACCAGCTTTACCGTAAAGACACACAACAGCAAACCATCAGGGACACTTTTACTTGGTATCTAAGAGAGATGAAAATGTTTGTAAGTTTCTAGAAGGAGGATTATTCATTGGAGGGTATGACAACAAACTGGTTTCCAGATCTCACAAACTGTCATATTTTGTCTTCTGTGTGGGTTCTTCAGAAAATAAACTTGGTATTTTAGATCTAATTTGAGTATTACAGTTGAGTAAACATTAGGCAAGTGTTTCTGAAAACATCTGTAAACTGTAAACTGGATTTCATTTTCCATGTGGCTCACATTATTCTTGTAGAAATGATATTGGGGGAATGGTACTAGAGACTGTATTAGTCTGTTTTCACATTGCTATAAAGATATACCCAAGACTGGGTAATCCATAAAGGAAAGAGGTTGAATTAACTCCCAGTTCTGTTTGGCTAAGGAGGCCTTGGGAAACTTACTATCATGATATAAGGGGAAGCAGCCACGTCTTACATAGTGGCAGGAGAGAGTGAAGAGGGAAGAGGGAAGAGTCCCTTATAAAACCATCAGATCTCATGAGAACTCACTCACTATCATAAGAACAGCATGAGGAAACCTCCCCCATTATCCAATCACCTTCCTCTCTTGACGTGTGGGGATTACAGGTCCCTGCCTTGACCTGTGGGGATTACAATTTGTGATGAGATTTGGGTGGGAACACAGAACCAAACCATATCAGAGACCAACAAGAATAAGACTGTTGGCTGGGCACGGTGGCTCACGCCTGTAATCCCAACACTTTGGGGGGCCGAGGCAGGTGGATCACGAGGTCAAGAGTTCGAGACCATCCTGGTCAACATAGTGAAACCCTGTCTCTACTAAAAATACAAAAAATTAGCTGGGCATGGTGGCACGTGCCTGTAGTCCCAGCCACTCAGGAGGCTGAGGCAGGAGAATTGCCTGAACCCAGGAGGCGGAGGTTGCCGTGAGCTGAGATCGCGCCATTGCACTCCAGCCTGGGTAACAAGAGTGAAACTCCGTCTCAAAAAAAAAAAAAAAAAAAAGATTGTTATACAAATTAATGCAAAAAATTAGCTGAAGAAACCAGAGGTTGGCTTTGTAGGAGCCTAGCAGCCCAGGCTGTATCAGCTATATAGAATATGAATCTTCCAAGAAACATTAACACTGATGACATGGGTATAAAAATGCCAAATATCTTTTAAATATTTTTTCTTTTCTTTCCTTTTTTTGAGATGGAGTCTCACTCTGTTGCCAGGGCTGGAGTGCAATGGTGTGATCTTGGCTTACTGCAACCTCTACCTCATGGGTTCACATGATTCTCCTGCCTCAGCCTCCTGAGTAGCTGGGATTACAGGTGCACACCCCCACACCTGGCTAATTTTTTGTATTTTAGTAGAGATGGGGTTTCACTATGTTGGCCAGATTGGTCTCGAACTCCTGACCTCATGATCCGCCTGCTAAAGTGCTGGGATTATAGGCATGAGCCACCGCGCCTGGCCTAGATAAAAAATGTTAAAGTCTATTTTCAGTAAAATCAAGGAGACAAGGTCATCCAAGTTTATCTTGTAGTTGTTTAGCAAAAATAAAGGAGAATCTTAACTTTTGCTCTTGGATTTCAGTCAAGGTACTGTACAGAAGTTGTATAAAATCAGTATGTGAAGTTCAGTGATTTTTAAATAAATCAAAATAGTTCCAGTGTGATTTTCTTTTCTAAACTGGCTTTCTATGCCCACCAAACGCATTCCCTATATATTGGCTACTATGATATTTTGAAAAGTGTTTGTGATATTTCTTTATGTATCACCCAAATATTGGTATTTTGTGTGAATTCCTTAATTCTTTCTGCTATTTGTCACAATTGTCACTTAAAGAGCCAAGTGTAGATTGTGTGAAAATATTATGACTTTGTTCTTTTTCCTTTCTGAGACAGAGTCTCGCTCAGTCACCCAGGCTGGAATGCCATGCGTGATCTCAGCTCACTGCAACCTCCACCTCCCGGGTTCAAGCGATTCTCCTGTCTCAGCCTTCCAAATAGCTGGGATTACAGGCTTGCACCATCATCCCCGGCTAATTTTTATATTTTTAGTAGAGATCGGGTTTTACCATGTTGACCAGGCTGGTTTCGAACCCCTGACTTCAAGTGGTCTGCCCACCTGGGCCTTCTAAGGTGCTGGGATTACAGTCATGAACCACACGCCTGGCCATGACCTTCTTCTTAGTTTAAAGAAACTCCAATAAAAAATTCAAGCGAAACAATTTTTTATAAGTCTATACCACAATATTATCTGCAGTCCATCAGGTTAGGTATGGCTGTGAACATTTAATCATAACTTTTCAGTTGTAATTTTATGTTCACATTACATTTGGATATCTCTCAATATTTTTAAAAGAAAATTTTCAAACATATATGGTTGGTCCACAGATTTGTCACATCTGTTGTTCTGAAAATTGCCAAATATATATGAAAATGGAAAGAATACTATTATGAAGGCCTGTATACTCTCTGCCTAGATTCAACAACCGTCATCATCTTGACACATTTATTCCTCTCTCTGTATAACGCTTTTTTAAAAACAGAACTGTTTGAAAGTCTTTGACACTTTTGCTTCTTCTAGTTCCTTTCCTTCCTCCCGAGCTTTTAGTTTTGTTTTCTGACTTCCTGTATGCAGGTTCCTTTTTCTAACGGCCTTACATAGCATTCTTAGAAAAGAAGAAAAGTGCTCTTAACTTCGTGCTCACCCCAGCCACCGTGATCTGTCTCTTTCTCACAGCCCACTTTCTCAAAGGAGAGTCCACGCTCCTGTTTCCACTTCCTACCTCTCAGTAGGTCTCAATAGACGGCAGTGTGCCCTCCACACAACTCCACCTGGGCACCATCTGGGGCCTCATGACTAGGAAACTCAACAGAAGCTAGGCTCTTCTTTTTGGCATTTCATGCTGTTGAGCTCCATCTTGAAATCTGTTCCTCCTGCCAGAGCAGCGTTCCCTTCTGACTCACCTGCTTTTCCAGCTGTCCCTGCTCAGGACCCTTCGTCAACTCTCCTTTGTGCTTGCCTCTTGAATCTGAGCATTCTAAACGGCCCCATCTCCATCCTCAGTCTCCAACCAAGAGCTTCACCGTTTCGTCCCTTATTACAGGAATTTCAGGTATCTGTAAGAAGATGAAGAGAAACTCTTTGCGTGAGAGAACCCATGAGGATGTCTGCTTCATCCACTGCTTTCTCTTGATCCTCCAGTTATAGGTCTTCTGGCCTTTGCAGGTTTAAGAAAATCATACCCAGAGGCTATTCAGAGGAAGGAATGTAGGTAAAAGGCAAAATGATCTTGCTTGTTACAGCCTAGAGAAAGGATTGATGGGTAAAGAAACAGAATGTTGCCTTTCTTTCTTTCTTTTTTCTTTTTTTAAGATTGAGTCTCCCTCTGTTGCCAGGCTGGAGCACAGCGGTGAGATCTTGGCTGCCTGCAACCTCAGCCTCTTGCATTCAAGTGATTGTCCTGCCTCAGCCTCCCAAGTAGCTGGGACTTCAGATGCCCACTACCACGCCCAGCTAATTTTTGTATTTTCAGTAAAGACAGGGTTTCACCATGTTGGCCAGGATGGTCTCAATTTCTTGACCTCGTGATGTGCCCGCCTCATCCTGCCAAAGTGCTGGGATTACAGGTGTGAGCCACCCCGCCTGGCCTGTTGTCTTTCTTTATTATGAAGTTGTAGGATGTTATTTATCCATGATAAAGTCCTATCTCCCCCATTTCCACTGCTAATTTAAAGTTGACTATTACAAACCCTATTCACAGGTCAAATACGCACAACACACATTGATTTCTAGCCATAAGGCTTCACAAAGCTAATCAGTCTGTTTTGCTTGCTTGAAAGATCTGTACCTAATTTTTTAAGCCTTAAAGGAGAAAAGCATATTCATCTCCTTGTAATACGTGAATGGAAGGTGACTGTTCCCTTTAGGGAACATGGTGCTATTGAGAAAACAACATCTATGTTAAGAATTAAGCCTGGGATGAGGAGCAGTGGACTTTGAGACTAAGAGAGAAAAAGAATCAGTAGGCAATGCTGATGCATCAGAAAAGGAACATGGAAGGAGGCCAGCAGAGTCCTTTAGTAGGGTTTTTGTTGGTGGTATTTTTCCTTATTTTTTTTTTTTTATACAGAGTCTTGCTCTGTCACCCAGGCTGGAGTGCAATCTCGGCTCACTGCAACCTCTGCCTCCCGAGTTCAAGCGATTCTCCTGCCTCAGCCTCCTGAGTAGCTGAGATTACAGGCGTCCAGCACCATGCCAGGCTAATTTTCTGTATCTTTATTAGAGACGGGTTTCAGCTTGTTGACCAGGCTGGTCTGAACCCCTGACCTAGTGATCCACCCACCTCAGCCTCCCAAAGTGCTGAGATTACAGGCAAGCCACCGTGCCTGGCCCCATATAACCTACTCTTAATCTAATTAAAGACTTAAACTAATTACTGATCTTTTATGCCTACTTTATTATAAAATGGCAGCCCAGTTGTAAAAACTTACGCTGATTTTATTATAAAAAGTCTAGTACAGGTGAAACACAAATGAAGTCTCTACTTTAGCTAATAGTACGTGTCAATGTTAAGTTTCTTATTTTGGCAGTTGTACCACAGGAATGTAAAGATGTCAACATTGAGGGAAACTGAGTGAGGGTGACATGGAAACTCTGAAATATTTTTGCAACTTTTTTATAAATGTAAAATTGTTCTAAAATAAAAAGTTGACTTTAATGAAACAAGCCTAGCATGTGGCAGTGATTATAACAATGGATGTTTGGATAATGACCTGCTCGGTGTTCTCCAGATGGTTAGTACCGTCGTAAAAGTTGTGTATAACAGACCAGACACAGTGGCTCGCGCCTGTAATCCCAGCACCTTGGAAGGCCGAGGCGGCGGATCACCTGAAGTCAGGAGTTCAAGACCAGCCTGACATAGTGAAACCCCGTCGCTACTAAAAATACAAAAATTAGCCAGGCATGGTGGCAGACGTCTGTAGTCCCAGCTACTCGGGAGGCTGAGGCAGGAGAATCACTTGAACCTGGGAGGCAGAGGTTGCAGTGAGCTGAGACCACACCATTGCACTCCAGCCTGGGTGACAGAGTGAGACTCCATCTCAAAAAACAAAAAAATTTCTATATAATAAGAAGCATAATGACAATTTTGGCACATTCCAAGTAAAATCTCTGTTTTAAAACTCAGCTCAGGTTATCCAATCTAACCTCAAAAATGACTGATAAAGCACAATCAGACCAGAATAATTCTCTAATATTTTGTAGAATATATGGAAGGACTGTCTTTCTTGAGCCTAAAATAAAGTGGATGAGACCAGCTGACCAAGAGGAAACAATGTTCTGCCAGTTTCTTCTGCATTTCTGGCTTATTTGGAAAGAAAGACAAAGAAGCTGAGTGGATCAGAGCTCATGTGTTCCTTCCTTTTTCATTCTGCTGTTTGGATATGCCTGGGTTGTGGCAAACGTTGAGATCCCCAAATCCATGAGACAGGGCTCTTTAACAAATAATTTTGGGCCAGTCTTGGTGGTTCACGCCTGTAATCCCAGCACTTTTGGAGGCTGAGGCAGGTGGATCACTTGAGGCCAGGAGTGAGTTGGAAACCAGCATGGCCAATAGAGTGAGACCCCCATCTCCACAAAAGCAAAAGAAAAACACTGGCCAGGCATAGTGGTGTATGCCCCACCTTTAGTCCTAGCTACTCGGGACTTGAGCAATCCCTGAGTGGCTAGGCTTGCAAAAGGATTGCTTGAGCCCAGGAGGTCGAGGCTGCATTGAGCTTGGATCATGCTACTATACTCCAGCCTGGGCAACAGAATGAGCCCTGTCTCAAAAAACAAACAAACAAAAAATAAATAAATTTTTTGTAGAGCTCGTTAAGGATCTTATATCTTCTCTTTAAACAAACAAACTAACCAACTAAAGAATCTCTGTCCATTATGATTCTCATTGATCTCACCTCAGCTTTTAACGCTTAGTTTTATAGAGCAGTCACTGGCAAACAATGACCCACAGGCCCAACCTGCCTCATCTTCTTTCTCATTACAGTTACAGTCTGGGAGTTAAGAAGAGTTTTTGGGCTGGGCTCTGTGGCTCACACCTGTGGTCCCAGCACTTTGGAAGGCTGAGGCAGGTGGATTACTTGAGGTCAGGAGTTCGAGACCAACCTGACTAACAGGACGAAACCCCGCCTGTACTACTAAAAATACAAAAATTAGCTGGGCATGGTGATGTCCACCTGTAGTCCTAGCTACTTTGGAGGCTGAGGCAAGAGAATCACTTGAACCTGAGAGGTAGAGGTTGTAGTGAGCTGAGATCATGCCACTGCACTCCAGCTTGGGTGACAGAGCAAGACTCTGTCTCAAAAAAAAAAAATAATGATAATAAATAAATAAATAAATAAATAAAAAGATGGTTTTTATATTTTTAAATGCTTGAAAGAAAAAAGACCGAAAGGAAAATGACACGATACGAAATTCAAATTTCAGCATCTACAAAGAAAGTTTTATTATAACACAGCCAGGCTCATTCACTGTCTATGGCGGCTTTCCTGACGCAACGGCAGAACTGAGTAGCAGTGACAGAGACCACAGGGCCTGCAAACACAAATATAATCACTATCTGACCCTTTACGGAAAAAGTGTGCCAGGCCTGTAATAGACAACTTCCTACACACACAGATCTCCCTCTTGGCGTTCAGAGCAGGGTTCTCATCTGGCTTTCTACGTTCTCACCTGGCACTCTGGGATTTAAGCAGTGATATGACAGGGTCGTCTGGTGAGGACCAGAGTAGGAGTGTGGCTAATCAGGAGGCTGGTGGACACTAACAGGAAGATAAGATATGAAGAACTAATCAGTATGCAGCTGAGGAGGCTAGGCAGGTACCACAAGATGTGGGAGAAGGGAAGCTCCGTTTTGAGAAGTGAGCTGAGGAGTAGGAGCCACGAGGCCTGTGTGGTCTAGGCATACAGTCCAGAAGGTGGGCATTTGCAGGAACTGCCCTGACAAGCAGGGTGAAACCAAGCCGCAGTCTCATCTTAGGGCAAAAGTGATTTCCCCATTTTACACTGCTCTCTGGAACTGACAGCCTTAGGTCCAAATCTACTTAGGACATTCAGAAGGAAATAAAAGACCTGAGGTAACCCCACCTTCTCCACAGATTGAACTCCTGTGATGGATGCTGAAGAAGAACCGCATACCTCTCCCATACTAGACTTTTCTCAAAATTCAGTTCCACATAGTGCTGATTACTTTATTGATTTATTTAGAGAGCAGTCTCGCTATGTTGCCCAAGCTGGGCTCAAACTCCTGGGCTCCAATGATGCTCTTGCCTCAGCCTTCTGAGTCACTGGGACTCTGTGCCAGCACACCTGGCTGACAGTTTTACTTCTATGTCTCGTCAACATGACCTTGGGTTAGAAGCTCGTCCTTCCTTCATGACCAGGCCATATGCTTGGTTTTATTACCAAAGTGAAAGCCATCTTCTTTCCAACCTCCTACGCAAGAAAATCTCTCTTATACGTCAGTAAAAGTACCGAGCACCTACATTCTTCCTAATTCTCACCTACTATAAAGTATAAAATGAACAACAGTGGGGAGAGAAAAGGTGATGAAGAGAGGGAGGTAGAGGTGTGCTGATTTAATCATTGTAATAGCCAGGGATGAAAAGAGATGAAAAGATGATAAATCAAGTACTTGGGAAAAACCGCAATTACTTTTGCACCAACCTAATAGACTAAGTATATTTAAAAAAGCAAAGATAAAGGCCAGGTGGGATGGTTCACACCTATAATCCCAGCACTTTGGGAGGCTGAGGTGGGTGGATCACTTGAGGCCAGGAGTTGAAGACCAGCCCTGGCCAACATGGTGAAATACTGTCTCTACCTAAAAAAAAAAAAAAAAAAAAGGCAAAGACAAATTCTAAGAAGAACAGAAAAAGGGAAGTGGTAATGTGCTAATTTCATCAGTGTTAATAGTACGGAGTCAGCTGGTTCTGTTTCAAGAAAGACGATTAGGTGCATTATATAAACTTGTACTTATAAGGTAACCACTAGAACAAAAATGTATTTCCCTATAAATTATTAGGAAACACACAGACACACAAACACAAAGAAAATACAG